AGTGGCCGAGGGACATTTTAGGCACAGGATCAAATGAATTGCATAAATATTAGCTATTATGAAGCAGTGGGATCAAAGGTTATGAATGTGAATTTTCATAGCCTTTCTTCATATTAACCTTCCACACTGTCCAGAAGAGTCTTCTTTCTCACCCTCCCTTCAGGTAGAGAGACAAAAGGGCAACACTGAAAGAAGCACACTATATAGAGTGGAGAGAAGCAAGTAGAAAAAGAAAAGAAATGTCTTGGCCGGGCGCGGTGGCTCAAGCCTGTAATCCCAGCACTTTGGGAGGCCGAGACGGACGGATCACGAGGTCAGGAAATCGAGAACATCCTGGCTAACCCGGTGAAACCCCGTCTCTACTAAAAAAAAATACAAAAACTAGCTGGGCGAGGTGGCGGGCGCCTGCAGTCCCAGCTACTCGCGAGGCTGAGGCAGGAGAATGGCGTAAACCCGGGAGGTGGAGCTTGCAGTGAGCTGAGATCCGGCCACTGCACTCCAGCCTGGGTGGCTCCATCTCAAAAACAAACAAACAAAAAAAAAAACAAAAAAAAACCAGAAATGTCTTAGGAGAAGAAAGATTTAGAAAGTTTTTGCTATATAAGAGTATGCAGATTAATATGCAGTTATCCATTTCTGGAGATGAGGATGAAAATGATGAGGGTGACAGTGACAGGGTTTATTTTATTGTATTACCATTTGATTGTGTCACCATTTTGCAAGACGTAAGTAAAGTCTGAAACTCTTAAAAAATTATCTTTGGCTATTTAGATTATACTTTTCTGAAAAGAACTCCGTGCTAATGGATCATGTAGTTTCAAGATTCACATGCGTTAAAATTACTTCAGGACACTAGTCATTTTTCAATTACCAGTAGAAATAAATCTCAAAGGAAGAGTCTGCAGATTCTTGAGCCATCAATGGCCTGTAGGAAATCTTTTGAACAACTGGGTACATGTTAGAGAAAGTTAGGTCTCGTTAAAACATTTTTAAAATAATTAAACTAAGCCAAATATCCATTTTGGATCCATGGGATAAACTGTCTCATAGAATGTTTCTAAAGGGAGGTTTTTAAAGTGTAGTTGAATGGTCACTATTTTAAGTTATTGTAACATAAATCATTTAAAGAGACATTTGATTTGATGGTTTTTCAAGTTTCCATGATTCTGTGGTTAATTATTCCCAATTTAGGCACAGGGAGTTGGTTTATATTTATCTAATCGAGGTAATAGAGTATTTAATTTCCTGTCACTCAAGCCAGATTCTAGAAATGTAATCTAAATAGAATGAGGCAAGAGGCAGCCAGATCCAATAGAAATTAGACTGGAGAAGTAGGGAAAAACCAACTGAAATCTCCCTTCTGGCTTCTTTTAAAACAATGGGTCCTTTGTCAGGCAAAGAGCTTTTTGAACACACTAAAGTATCTTTAGCCTTAAAAGAAGGATCTTCTTTTGTACCTGTATCCTAAAGAAAATCTATTTTCATAACAATTTGGGAACAGCTGAAAGAGTTTCATAATTGTTGTAAAACTTGGGGATGGCTGAAACACTTAAATTGGTATTGAGCTCCTCACATGGGGATTATCTAGTGGGTTTAAGATTAAATTGGTGATGAAGTTGAATTTAAAATCCACCTTTCCCCCAAGAAAATATGAGAGTACTATGATCAGCTTCCTGGGTCTTTCTCATTAGAGGCTTCTGTGCTGACAGTGGAACATCCCTGAGGTGGTTGAGATTTGGGGTATATTTCAAAAGATACAATTTACAGACCAGAACATGTGCTAAATAGGCAAAACCGTCCTTTCTCAATCACCTTGACTGTCCACAATTATGATATAAGAGTGATCCAGTGGCTGAAATTATGGTGATTTTTCAAAAACGCCAGTGTCGAAATTTTGCCTTGACAGTACATCTATAACTACTAATAATGCTGTTTTGGGCTGACTCAGTTGCTTTGAAATTGCACGGCCCCATTATGAGTAAATGAGAGGCAACCAATTATCTATAAAATAACGATGTGCACAGAGGAGAGCTTGATGAATTACAAGTGAGCTCTGCTGACACAACAGGGTGTGGAAACCTTCCCTGCTCTGACTTTCCATCAGAATTAGGGGTGATGCTTGCATATTTTACCAACAACATATCCCCCTCAATTCTAATGTGAAATGGGAGAGGGGAGGATGGGGAGATGGTAAAGTCTTCCCCCACTAGTCACTAGGACACATGCCATTGCTTTAAAATTAAGTAGAAAAACTGCTTGGCTGTATAGAGACAGCAAATCCAAGTATCCATAGGTGCGTAAAGAATTACCATCCTCCAGGAAGGAGGCAATGTTAGATAAGAAATGCAGGTCTCCTGTCATTTGATGTGATTTAGAACATAGACTAAAAGAGCCATTGCAAATCCCTTATCCCGGAACTCAGTCCAGTGTGTAGGGAGCCAATGCATAAATTCACCTATGCAGAGAGCAGACGCTGAATTCCTGGAACCAAAGGATTGCCAGCCTCATCAAGGATCTGTCACGTGGTGAGTGAGACCACTGCAGCTTCATTCAGCAACCCTTGAGCTGTTGAGCTCCTTGTGCATGGTGAAGGCAATAACCCTTTCTCACTATTGCTCAAGAAACTGCAATTCAAAGTCATTTTCTGTTAGGCAAAGGATACAGAGAGCAGCTAAAACACCAAAATCTCCTGGAAGATTTTGGGAAGATAAAGAGAGTTCTTCTACACAATTAATCCAATGTTGGTGTCTTGATGGCTTCAAGAGGCTGAGGAGACAGTACATAGTTTCAGAATGTTTACCTTTGTTGTCCTAACGTTACTCTTGCTATGCTGAGGATTAATTCTTTATATGTAAAGAAGATATAGAACATAATACTTAAAAAGGAGTTGCTAGGTGTATTAGTTTGTTCTCATGCTGCTAATAACAACATACCCAAGACTGGGTAATTTATAAAGGAAAGAGGTTTAATGGACTCACAATCATGGAGGAAGGCAAAGGAGGAGCAAAGGCACATCTTACATGGCAGCAGGCAAGACAGCATAGGCAGGGAAACTGTCCTTTATAAAACCATCAGCTCTCGTGAGACATACTCACTATCAATCATGAGAACAGCATGGGAAAGACCCTCCCCCTTGATTCAGTTACCTCCCACTTGGTCCCTCCCATGACATGAGAAGATTATGGGAGCTACAATTCAAGATGAGATTTGGGTGGGGAAACAGCCAAATCATTTAACTAGGTATGTCCACCCCAAACATTAAATCAAAAACAGCTTTTTGGTCTTATAGTCCTTATTCTTATATAGGGCATCTCTGGATATAGGTGTTTACATTCTTCTTTGCAACCTGTCGGTTTTAAGATAGACTATTGGCAAGTAAAATGTCAGTGGCAAGCACTGAAATTTGACTCATCGGCCCTAGGGAAGCTGACTCATTGGTTTTCCCCCATGTACCTTGCCTTCTTGATATGCCTGGGGGTGGGAGGGCGGGTATGGGGTGGGGGTGGGAGAAGGAGTACTGATTTAGGGTTGAAGCAGGTCTAAAGCCAGCTTGCTCTGGGTTTAAGATCCGGCCTCCACTGATGTTTCTCCAAAGTTGGGAGTCATATTCCTGTTTAAGATAATCTTAAGTGATCTACATTGAATCTCTGAGTAGGTTATTGTCTTTAATCCTTCTGAATATGCCAAATGGAGAGTTTCAGTTTAGTGCTAGAATTAAATGCCCTTCTAATGGTGGCTAGCTTCGTTTTTTAACAGAGACTGAATCTCACTCCTAGTAGCTAAGGCAAGCAACTATGCAGAGCTGGAAATCATCAGCATCGTTTTTCTCTTATGTTTATTTTTATGCTTAGCTTCTAATTACAAGTAGTACTTGCTTTTCATTGAGGCTGAAATATAAAGTTTAAGATAAATGTACTAAAATTTAAAAAGTGAATCAAGTAAATAATGCTCTAAGTGGTCCACAAAGATAAGAAAAATCATGACAAAATGGGAATGAATGCAATTTGGGAAACACTGTATTCGCCCAAAGTCATGTTTATTTAGGCATGTGGTCAGATGGTAGACAAAAGAAAGAGGGAGGTCAGCCTAGGCAGGAACCAGCATGATCTGAAAAACTTGCAAGTAGAACAAAGTTGGTTGGGGAATACAGGCCCATTTTGGTTTCTGCTACCTGGCTGTAGTGTGACCAGGGAGGCAGGTGCTGGACAGGGTTGTATTAACAAAGCAGGTAAGGAAGTCCAGCAGGTGAGGTGGGAGGTCCTCAAGGCAGAAATAGGCCAGTAGATAAGGTGAAGAGGCTAAAAAGACTATTTGGAGGGTACAAGGAGAGATGGGACAGGGAGAAGGAAGTGGCTAGAGAGATGAGCTCTTTTAGCAAGGAGGGCAATACACAGACTAAAAGAGAATGGCCTTTAGGGCGGGATTGCCTGGGTTCAAATCTGAGCTTTGCCACTTACCATTGATTGGCCTTGAACTAATACTTAACATCCCTAAGACTTAGCTTTCTCATCACTTGTAAGACAGGATAATAACAGAGTCTATATCTTATAAATTCTTAGCAAGTGTTGGCTACTGTTATCAATTCCAGGGCTGAGCCCTATCATGTCTGCCTCTGTGCATGTTGACAACCGTGTGGTTTTGCAGAGTGAGCACCATGAATGTCTTTAAACTTGCTCTGCCTAAGACTAACTTGCTGCTGAGGGAATAATCACGAAAGCTGGGGAAGGTCAAGTCTATCTGAACTTCAGATTAACAAGTTTTAAAATATAGCTATGTCCATACATTTCATAATTGCCCTATTTATTAACACATTTCAGGAATTTCAGGAGTTTCATGAACCACTTAATGTATAAAAATTCAATATGTAGACACATCTTTTTTTTTTGAAAAGGGGAGAAATAAGCAGGTGGACCAATCCAATGATTGAATTTCCTTTAAAAAAATTACTATAATAGGTTTGTTGCCTAATGCATGGCAAGTCAATACGCCGAGACACAGGGTTGCAGCAGAGAAGGAAGTTTAATCATAAGGCTGCTGAATAAGGAGACACGGGAAAACCTCAAATCTGCCTGTCTGAGCCGTTTAGGTCTTAGGTATTTTAAGGGGGTTGGAGTGACCGAGGTAGGGGATCACTGAAGAATATTGGATGAAGTCACAGGATGGTGAGATGAAGAAACTGCGTTTTCATGCTGATTCAGTTCCTCATGGGGAGGGGGATCTTCAAACTGGTTGGCATTAGCTCTTTTGCTGGAATTCAGGATCTGAAAAACATGTTAAGCAATTTTTAACAAACAAAAGCCTTATGATTCTAACATCAGAAATCTTCTCTGTAGGAACAATGAGGAGGCAAATTGTTGGCATCTGGTGCTCTGTGACTTTGGTTACGAAGAAGTGGGCCGAAGTGGGCCAAAGTGCAGCCTGATTAATGCTTAATTACAACCATATTTCTGTCCAGAACCCAGCATGTAATTCTTGTTAACCCTGTGAGGATGGTTTCAATAGAATGTTTCCTTTGTCCTTAAAGGGAAGTATATTTAGTCCCATTATACTTCAGGTAATGATGATACTCTTGGCAAAATCTTAGGACCCTAAGTGGTTTGCCACCTCGCAACCTATAGTATCCATCCTAGTCTTAGTTACCACATCTGACTGCTGGGAAGACTGAGGGTGATTTGTTTGTCTGTACACAAAAAACCTTTAAAGAGAAATACAAATGTTAGTTAACTTAAAAATCCAAAGATACAGTGGCAATAGTTTGTGTAACAAGTTAGGGTAAATATCTTTCTGGTAAGATGTACAAGGGAAGTCAATTTACCTGGAAGACAGGAAATGGCAGGCCTCAAGGCAAGACAGAAACAAAAACTGACAAAGCAAAGCCTACCGGAAACTTGGGTAATAAGTTTGAATCTTCTTAAAGTGTCTAGAAAATGCATTCTAAGACAAAATCCTACAATTCAGCAAGCCTTGGGAAAAAGCCTAAAGCTTTCTAGCCTCTACCTGAAAATACCCACTACAATAGGAAACCTAGGAGAAAAAATTCAACCTAGGCAGTCAAGTCTGAGGTATTGTCACCCCATTTAAATTTGAACAGGGCACTCTAAAATGACATACTGGCCTTCATAAGAGGAATAGAAAGAGGTTTGTAGTCATGCCCATAGGCCTATGTTCTTAGGTAAACTAGCTTGATCCTTAAAAAATGAGAGAGAGATGGTGAACAGTGGAAAAGGTTAAAAATAAAATATGAAAGACAGCCTCTGCTATAGCACTTGCCATATCCCCCTAGGCAATTGAGTGCAAGCTGACAAACTTATGACATGGGAGAATGAAATAAGCTTTCTAGAATGCAAGGATCTGAGTACAACACCATGTTTGAACAACAGTAGGGGAAAAGGTAGTCTGGGTCTTTAAGTATTTAGAATACGCTAAAAAGAGGGCCTGGGAGAGAAAGGCCAAGTGTACATATATTTAAAGCTATCCAGTAAAGACTTACATTTCAAAGTGAAATCAGAATACGTTGAATGTGTTTTCTAGCTTAAAATCATGATCACTAAGTGGTTGATACAATTTTTTCCAATCAATTGCTACCAGCATTTGCTCACTAATTTTGTTTTTTATTTATATCTGATCTACTTCTGCAACTTATAACATGAACATATTTATTCACAGGCCAGATGAAGAACTGCCTATTTCTAATTTGGAGTTATCTAATTCTAAAAAGGAAAAAGAAACTATTTATAGGAGAGGATCTGTAACTGGGGTCCATGGGAGTTTATTAACAAGTTTGCCAGAAAAAATACAAGATACAAGTTAAATTTGAATTTGAGATAAACAAGTAATTTTTTTAGTCTAGATATATGCCAGTATTGCATGGTAACCCTATGTTTATAAACAAATTTCAGAGAGATGGATACATTTCTCTCTCTCTCTCTCTCTTTTTTTTTTTTTTTTAGATGGAGTCTCCCTCTGTCACCCAGGCTGGAGTGCAGTGACGCAATCTCAGCTCACTGCAACTTCTGCTTCCCAGGTTCAAGCGGTTCTCCTGCCTCAGCCTCCCAAGTAGTTGGGATTATAGGCATGAGCCACTGTTCCTGGCCATTTTTAATGCTTTTTGTTTACAGACCAAACACATCACCCTCAGTCATTCCAGCAGTCTACTATGGGAACTGAGACTAGGAGGGATAATATAGATTGCCAGATAGATCTAGGCATGAGTTCCTTAGACACTGTATAAAAATTTGGAGTAGAAGCATTTTGACAAGGAAATTGGCTATAGCTATCTTTCTACCAGAGTCTTAAACCTATGATCTCTCAAGAGTTAGCCATCATTAAGGCAAAGATTAATTCTATCAAGCCTTGACTTTTCCCTGTGGCCTAAGCTTCCTAGCAGCTGTACAAAAAGAGAAATGTGAAGGGCAATTTACCAAATAGCAACTGAAGAGAAGAGTCCTCTCAGTGAAAACAGAGGAGTTTGCCTGGGGGCGTGGTAGAGAGGCAGAGAAAGCTGGTTTACAGGGCCTGCAGACAGACTTGAGCCTGAGGGCCATGTCACACCTTAAGGTGGGGTTGACCTTTTAAACAAAAAGTTGTGCATGACAGAAGGTCTGCTTTGTGAACATTGGATTCTGGAGGAGCACCACCACAGGAAAGACTGGAGAAAGTTGGTGGTGGGGTGGGGGCACTGGCTTGGAAGAAGGGCGTGAAGAGGCAGGTGGAAGAGACTAGGAGGCTGGGAATACAGTACTCAAAGGCCAGGGTTTTCTCCCCTGCAGCTTGCAGCCACCACCCAAGGATGCTGGTGAAGGTGTTTTTGTGCATCTCCATTCTGAGAGTGCAACCTCTTTCCTGAGGTCCATGGGAGGGTCTGGGTGATGACAAAATGCAGTCTTTACCTGTGTCACTGAAAGTAGACCCGCAGAGCTGCAGCTTCTTCTGCCATTTCCTCCTCTGATCTCCAAGAGACTGGGGAGTCCTCCTCTTCCTTGTCATGTTTCTGGAGCTTTGGAGAAAAAAAATGGAAGAGGCTCTTTCATGGGCCCTTGGGATCTCCTTGAAGAAATTTCGGGGGACTGGGGGAGACTGAACACAATTTGCAAATTAGAGGCCAGTAGGTGTATCATCTTTTAATTGTTTCAGTTGCCAAAACTTGCAAATGGAGGGGCTTTACACAAGAATCCACATTTAAAACAATCGGATCATTTGCCTTCTTGTAATCATCTACTGAGGCTGAGGGGGTGATGATATGATATAGGTCTGTGTCCTTGCCCACATCTCATGTCAAATTAGACTCCCCAGTGTAGGAGGCAGGGCCTAGTGGCAAGTGATTGGACCATCAAGGCAGAATTTCCCGTTGGTGCTGTTCTCATGACCGTGAGTTATTGGGGGATCTTATTGTTTAAAAGTGTATAGCACCTCCCTTCACTCTCTCTTCCTCCTGCTCCAGCCATGGAAGACGTGCCTGCTTTCCCTTCCACCATGATTGAAAGTTTCCTGAGGTCTCCCCAGCCATGCTTTCTGTACAGCCTGAGAAACCATCAGCCAATTAAACTGCTGTTCCTTATAAATTACCCAGCCTCAGGTAGTTCCTTATAGCACTGTAAGAATGGACTAATACAGGTGGTCACAGATTGGGATGAAGTGGGGGAATGGGGTGCATTTGCCATTCCCATAATCTCCCCCACACTCCTCTAATTTTCTTGTGTTTCATAGGCACCATTCATTTATTTTACTTCCTGGATTTTGAAGGCATTGAGTTTGCCACCAACCCATAATCCCTCCTTCAGGGTGGGCTGTGGTTTACCTCTTGCTCTCTTTGGTTCAGACTCTCTTACATGAGCTCTGCGCAGTTTTGTTCAGTGAACCAAATTTATGATAATAACACAAGGGCCATGAGAACTGAGTAAGTAATAAGTATTTCCATCAAAAGAGGCTTCAAGTAGGGAAACAGTAAAAGAGATTACATGAGAAAACAACTTACAAAAAATTAACAATTGGTCTCAAAATTAACACTTGAATCATTTTAAATTCCTCCTCAGATTACAGGTATATTTATTTTAAAAAGTTGTGTGTATGTCTCAGATTTACATATAGAGTAAATACAACTGCAATTCTATCACAGAAGATGTTCTCAGAACGCTCTTCCTTAGAAAAGCTCAATTTTCTCCCTTAACCTCCTATTAGGATTCAATTTAATTAACTAAATTTCTTGTTCCTGTGTGTGGCTCTATACATTGTAAAATGCTGCAGGTTATCCATTCATTCTTCGTGGGAATACAAAGTGTAGTATTTTGTGTTATGTGTTAAAAGTCATTTGGGATTGAGACAATTTAATAGCACCAATGATAGCTAGCATTTATGATGTGAAAGGTGCACATTATTTCTTTGATATACATTATTTCGTTTAATCCTTACAATAACTCATAAAACTGATGCTACTTAACCCCATGTTACTGTGGAGGAAACTGAGTTCTAAGGAAGTTCATACCCTGGTCCAAAGATCACCCAGCTAGGTAGTGGTAGGTGCCAGTATTATCCCCAACAACTTTTGCCTTTTTATTTATCCTGAAGGATCTACAGTGTCCCTAATGACCATTCCACGGATACTGTTCCACTCTCTTTTGTAAAAGGTCAACCTAACAGATATTAAAATGTCAACTTTTTAAAAGTTGATCCTTTAAAAATAATTTTGCCAACTCAGCAAAAAGTCTATCAACTAATATAATGACTTTTGCTATCTCAGGCTCCAAACTCTAAATTTAACCTAGAGGCCTTTACCCTGGCAGCTTGCAGCAGATGGAGAAATTTCCCCATTTATTGCAGCTCAACGTTGATACAGAAGGCAAAACAGTGAGGGAACCATAGCCTTGCACTCCAGCTGAGCTATATTTCCATTCCTGGTAAGTTTGAGCCTAAATGAGGCTCATTAGCATATAACCGGGCCACAAATACGTTTATGAGGGTCATGGATCTTCCCTTCAGAATTTGGCTGCCAGCACGCTGGTTTTACATTTTGCCATGTAGATTTAATTCTCCTTAGTGGAAGAAAACCACATTAAGAAGTCATTTCCTTTCTTGCAGAGGCAAACATGCCGCAGTTGCTACAGGCAAGTCAAACAGGATTGCTATTCTTCTACTCAAGAACTAATTTTCATTTTGATACTACCTTGAGGTCTGTTATAAATCCATCTTATAACAATTCAATAGGATGACAAAGAGACATGCAAAGCCCAGGAAATGCGGCCTTCCCACTTCTGCTACTGCCATTGGAAGACATGGAAATCAAGCATTAAGTGGCCTCATCAACACAGATCATACCAGATGAATCCAAATAATTTAGAGCCTGTGAATGTTAATGCCTTCCTGGTTATTAGGCGACCGTCTGTTATTGTCATATGCTTTACAGATGGCAACATTGTGCCAACCCTTGGAAGTTGTTTTTGGGAAACAGGAAATAAATAAAACAAAAACTAATCATCTTTGCAAAAACTGTTGTACATAGCTTTTCAAAGTCATGAGATTTCCCTCCTAAAAGCCCCAGATGGAAGCATGTGGTTCTGTTTAGAACAGCGGCGCTCAACCCTGGTTGCCCATTGTAATCATCTAGGAAGCTTTAAAAAAATGTAACCCACCCCAGGGATTCTGATTTAATTGGTCTGGGGCAGCTTGGCTTTGGGGATTTAAAACAAAACTTCCCAGTCAATTCTAAGGTGCACTTATTGTTGAGAATCACTGCTTTTGGGAGAAGTGTATAGATAGAGCTAGAGCCCACACACATATAGAAAGAATACGTTCGCCTTTAAGCACATTGCTTCTGATCCTATCAACAGTGCCACTGCTGTCCTTTGCAAACCTTGCCCTAGAACTGCTTTTCTTCTATTTATGCTCTGTCCATGGGATGTCTGGCCTACAAGGCTTGTCTTAGCAACACTAAGATGCAGAACTAAGATGCGGATGCACTTCAGGAGCCTTTAAATATTTTTAATCTCTGCAGAAATAGGGAGCCTGGGAAAGGCCGTGGTAGGCAAGACTTGTGTCCTAGAAGATCCACCCAGGTGACTTGAAGATTAAAAATGCTACAGTTTGGAGTAAAGTTCCGTTTCCCTAAAGCAACCCAAGAACCTGGTGGCTACAAATTCTTGCCTGGCTAACAGAGAGAAAGCCCTAATGATCTTAAATAGTAGTTTATCCAAAAGGCACTATTTGCCGTGGGTGAATTTTAATGGAGGAGTTTCACTTCCGATAAGCCTTCCAGAGGGACAGACCTAGCACTGCAACGCTGAACCAGACAGATTCCTTTATTGTTCTCCTGGGGCACCCAGGTAGGGAGGGTAGACACCAAAAGGCTGATTCTTAGTGAGATGGGATTACAAAATGGGAAGGGTGCCGGATAGAGCTAGCCCCATTGCAAAGGCTTTCAAGTATCACCTTGGTTTCACAAAGAAACGTTATGATAAAGAGTGATGGAGGGAAAGAGATTATCCATGGATCATCCAAAAATGGCTCTCCAAGAAGGCGAGAGTTAGGTCTGAGCTTGAACAACGAGAAGAACAAGTTCCTTTAACCTCTTTGTGCCTCAGTTTTCCCCTTTGTAAAATGGGAGTAGGAAAAAGAAAGAGTGAACAGTGCCATGCCTGACACATAGTTAAGTCATATTTAATATTCCCTGCTGCTGCTGCTGCTGTCAGTCATTAGTATTATTTTTAGGCTAAGTAACACTGACCTAATGACAGCAAGCACTAAAAACTCCACAGAGGTTGTTTCTAGGAATAAAAGTATTTTGCATCTCCATGGTTCCCCAATGATCTGTATCTTTTGGACCTAACTACTTTGTAGAAGGATTAAAAGTTATGATGAGAATTCAGATCCCAACCAACTTCTTATTATAATGAGACACCCAAATCTGGGGAGGAAATGTAGCTGCTTCAGCTCTAAAATGACCCTCATTAATCTTGAATCCTCAGAGTTGTTGTATGGGATAAGGTATTAACTGAGGCTTCTCACAGTAAAAGCTAAGGACCTATGGTAAAAGAATAGGGTGGAGGTCAAAGGCAGTCAATACCCCAGGAGTATGATTGCCAGATTTCCAGATTTAGCAAATAAAAATACAGGGCACTCAGTGACTTGTTTTAGGATAAGGATGTCTCATACAGTGTTGAGATATCCTTGTACTAAACAATTATTTGTTGTTTACCTCAAATACAAATTTAACTTGGCTTCTTGTATTTTATTTGGCAACTTAACCTAGCAGACACCTTAAAAAAGCATCGCAGGAAGAACTTGGCTTGCATTTGGTAACCAGGTTGTTCCCAAAGTTGCCTGGCTGTCAATCCTGGAAAAAACAGAGGAGACCATAAGCAGGAAGATGAAATTCAAGGCCATCATTTGTGCACTCCAGGGCTTATTATTATTGCATGGAATGCAGTGTAAATCAACCCGCACTATTTTAATTCCTTAGTTCACCAGTTCTAAAGTGTACATTTTTTCATATTTTAACATCTTTGAAATCAAAACATGTCCTATAACCAACAGTATGTCATAATTTAATTGGCAGTGTTTTTCTTTCTTAGTAGTACATAAAATAACCGCACTTCCAACTGACTGTGTCTGGGATTCAGTGCACTATAGTTCTCCATCTCTCCTTTCTGCAGGTAAGTCACGTAAGTTAAATGTGACTCTGCTTGCTCTGAAAATGCTCAACACCCACACTGATGTATTATATACTGGTTTCCTTCTGATGCAACAACAGTAGTCAAAACGGTTTTCACAGAAGCTTTGCTCTTTAGAGGAAAGTGCACGCCAAAGTGACAAAGTTTGCAAAAACTTGAACCAAAGTCTTCATTCACATTCAACAGATTGAAGTCTGTGATGGCCTCTCCAAGCAAATTCTATTTCTGCACAGCTTTGAAAAGAGATTTTTTAAAAAAAAAATCTCTCTTCAGTCATCCCACTTTATCTGCTAGAAACGGTTTTTGGGGAAGGTAGTGTTAACAGGATTTCTGA